ATCCATCTACGTCCTGAGGACCTCGCTGCCACCGTCCAAGCGTGCTTGGCCCCGGCAGATGAACCTCAGGATTAAAGGGTGGGCTCAGTTCCGCGCACACTGTGTCTCACCTAAAAAATCCAATGCGCAGGCTGGAAGGTGGAAAGACCTTCCCCGGTTCTTCGTTCGCGAAGAGACTGGCCATTAGCATCCCAAATCAACTCACGTTGGGCTCCTGGGGTTTGATGGGTGTCTGTGAGAGGCCAGCTCGCCTGGTGCTCTCTCTTAGTCTCTTTTTTCTCCTCTTTCTGTCTTCATGAGGCATTTACAGACCTGCCTCGAGTGTTGGGCGATGACAGGGACGCTGCTGCAGCCCCCTGTGCCCTGGGATTGGGTGTTCAGGGTTCTTAGCAGGTGTAGAGCCATGGCAAGGTCAGGGCAGCAGGGCCCCCTCTGCTGACTGTGCCCTGTGTCCCGCAGGACTGCGCGGCGGTGATCCTGTACTCGGCAGAGTGCGCGACGCAGGTGGCCCTGGACGGGATCCAGTGCCTGGGTGAGTCCCTGCCGGCCCCACCAGAGAGCTCTTGTCTCTCCCACCCCACCCTCCACCCCTGGAGTGGGCACCGGGGCTGACGATGGTTTGTTGTGGGCGCAGGTGGCAACGGCTACATCAACGACTACCCCATGGGGCGGTTCCTGCGCGACGCCAAGCTCTACGAGATCGGGGCGGGCACCAGCGAGGTGCGCAGGCTCGTCATCGGCAGGGCCTTCAACGCCACCTTCCAGTAACGTCCCCGGGGCAGGGGCAGCACCGGCACCACGAGGCCTTGAGCACGAGGCTGGAGCGCACAACTGCTTCCCGCTTGCCGTCCTGGCGCTGCCACCCATGGACTCCCCTCCACCCGCTTTGGCAACAGAGGCTGCTGGGCTGGGCTGGGACAAAGGAATCGGAGGGTGGCATGGCAGGAAAAGGGTTTTATCTCGTTGTGGTCATCCTGATTCACACTCTTCATGAGCTGTTGATCCTCAGCATTGCAGGGCTGAGGGTTGTCCCCCCACCAGGACAGACTGGCGAGGGCTGTGCAGCCATTGCTGAGCACAGAAAGTCAACCCAAAAAAGCCAAAACGGACAAGGAGGGAACAACTTTATTCTTTTCCAAAAGTGCCATTAACTAGTTAGCATTTAGCATATTGCCACTGGAAGGTGGAACTTCCCACTGTGCCCTTCCAGTGGGATTAATGCCTTCCATTTTTGGAACTCGACGCCAGCATCGTGGGGTGGCTGCTCATCAATGCTTAACATCATCCATGCTCAGGCAGTGTTTTAGGTGCTGATTCCTAAAGCCTCCTTAAATCTCACATCTGTTTGTTTGCAGAATTCCTTTCTATTTGCAGAATTCTTTTCATATTCTGGCTGCTTCTGGAGGCATTTCGGTGCAGCCCTGAGTCCTTGCTGTGCTGACCAATGGCTCCCACTGGGTCATTCCCTCAGAGGTGCCACCACTCATCACTCTGGTGACAGTCAGACCTGTATTGTGACATCTGTGCATGAAGCAGGCAGGAGGAGTTGACTTTTTGGGGGGTTTTGTTCTCCGGGGGTTGTTGTTTTGGCAAAGCCTGTTCTCACACTCCACCTCCAGCTGGGGCGAGCGCAGGGTGTTTGGGGGTGATCCCAGTGTATATTTTGTACAGCAGACTGAGGTTGATCCAGCTTTGTTAAAGGAAATTGCACAGTGTCCTGCCAGCCTTAAAAGAGTGAATCACAAATCCAGATGGGATGCTGGAAGTATGATTGAACAGTTAATTAATTAAACAGTTGCCATGTAGGCAACTCCCAGCAGTTTTAACAGAAATCACCTTGAAGTGTGTGTGTTTTTTGGTTGTAGTTCACACCTGTCCATACCAGGGGACAGACTGACACACAATTTTAAAATGCCACAGATTGAAGAAAATTCACTTTCCTCAGTCACCAGGTAAGTCAACAGGAGTTTATAAAAGTCACAAAGAGCCAGAAAGAGCTTCTAAAGTTCTGGTGGCAGCACCTTCTTCCTAAACTTGGTATTTACTCAGCCTCAGTGGGCCTTCACTTTGGAAGCATACCAGGGTTTAATTTTCAGCCTGAATCTCTGGATGGGGGATGGACAGAGGTGGCCTGTCAGGAATATCTCACTGAGCTGCACCAAATGCTGTGAAAGTGAACCTTGAGGTGCACGTGGGAAACACTCAGTGCACTGTTGTACAGGGCTGTAGGAATTTACTCACATGACCAGACATTTATGTTTTATCAC